TGGTATGTTCCGGTGTGTATACGTCATTCCTATAAATAAACAGAGGGGGAACCTTTGAGGCCGATAAATATTATGATTTAATTGAGTAACAGAAAGTGTAGTGATCGGCACTAATATAAAGAAATAGATAGATAGAAGAACACACTAGATAACATAAAAATCTAAAGCTATAGTTACCGTGCCGGGAATTGAACCTGTCACCTCCAGACGGCGTGTGCGCCTCGCCATGAATACACGTGCACTAAGAACATGGTCAACCAGGTACCCCCAAAAAAGGTGTCTTGTTGGTCATGTCTCGGCATAGTAACTATGTAGCTTTCGATTTGTGTGTAGTCTAGTGTGTCCTATGTATGCTGATCTATACATTTCTGTTTGTTTGTTAATGGTAATAACTACTATCAAGCATGTCGTGAAATGCAGGTAATTACAAAGGGCCAACCGACCTTTTATTGATGATGGCAAAATAAGAAATTACTAGTCGCAGATAAAGACAGATGATTTGTTACTCGCTGTAAGTGTAGGACACCATAATGTGATAGCTGAAAAAATACACAAAATTGTCGTGACTAGCAGGGGCTGTTGGGGTTGGTTCTGCAACGTCCTTTCCTGTTAAGGATACGCAACCAACCTCAAAGCTGAAAATGGAGTTTTAGACATTAAGGGAATTTCACATTCGGTAGTTTGTTATTGACACTGTAGGTCGACTACTGTCGAAATTAAGGCAAGGCGGTCTGCTGCCAGATCGCCTGCAACTACACCGACTACAATATTTTCAAATTAAACATATAATGTACACAAGAGAATTGGCGTCCGATATATTTTCTTTTTCTTCTTCTTTCCGTTCACCGGCTGTAAAACTCCGGGGTGAAAGTTCTGGTTGTTCGTCAACTTCTGGACTCCAGTCTTGTTCTAGATCTTGGGTTTCTCGTGCGCATCCATTTTACACATCTGGCTTGTTTGTATGCAAACTTTTAGTTCCCCGCATATCAGGCAGATGTACTCCGATTTCAAAGAAGAGATGCCTCCCAATTAGTCGCCTTTTACCATTTGCTTGTTAGGAGGTGGATGCTGACCACATTAGCCATAAAGTGCAGATTGGTCTATAAAATATAGGTCAAGCTTTATTGTCCAATATGTCCGAGGGTGTGGAAAAAAGTCCTTAACTTTACTTTACTGTTAGGGGTCAGTGGGTCTGTTATCCCACCCCCCGACTTCCCAAAATGGGACCCTAAAACCCACAATCATAGACAAAACAGTCATTCAACACAAGACGTGTACCAGTCTGTTTTAAGTCTGCCTGAGCTGTGTCTTGTTTAACCAATCCTGCCTCGTCAATGTAGGACATGACACACTCGTAGGTTCCAACATCCTCCTCGCTGGGGTAAATAATGGTCAGGTTGAGATAACTGTTGGCAATATCCGAGTTGTTGGCCACCCCGTGAGCCTGGTTGATATAATGGAGTCAAGGATTAACTTTAGGCGTGTGTCGTTTAGAAAAAGAGAATGTATTTACACTGGAACCCACGCGAAGTGAAAATAGATGAGAAGATCATTAGGGCTATGGAAATATAACAAGAGGAGAAAGAGTTAGCTGTGAGTGTGGCGGCCGATGGAACCGCATGATGTGAGTTGGTTCAAGGAAGATGATACGAACCAGAAGAAGAAGCACCAGAAGAAGAAGAACACGAAGAAGAAAGAAGGAGAATAAGAATAAGAATAAAAATAATAATAATAAGAAGAAGAAGAAGAAGAAGAAGAAGAAGAAGAAGAAGAAGAAGAAGAAGAAGAAGAAGAAGAAGAAGAAGAAGAAGAAGAAGAAGAAAAGAAGACAAATATGATGATTATATGGATGAAGAAGAAATGGAGGGAGAGGGAGGGCAGGAAAAAATGGGAAGAAGGAGAAAAAGAAAGGAAGTAGTAGAAAGAGAAATTAGTAAGTTAAAAAGTCAGCCCGTCAATTAGAAGTAGAAGAGTCTGAGAAAGCATGACTGAAAGATCAAACAGTGTGTAACGGACCGGGAAACGTGAACAGGATTCCACCCCCCCCCCCCCACCCCGCCTCCCCTTTAAAAGATATTACTGTACCTTTTTCCAATGGGGGCAGAAAACATAAAAATAGGAGGAGGGAGAGGGGTTTAGGGATTGTCGTTTGGAATATGAGCCACCTTTCAAAATAACATCAGGACTGACTGACTTTCTACACCACCAGGACATCACACAAGCGATAAACACCCGATGACACAATGTGCCACCATGTGGATGAGGATCACAGTGGAGAGGTCCCAGAAACCGCGTTCAGCCATTTGGTCATATTTATAGCCGGGCTATATTGCGGCCCCTGGAAAGAGCCAGAGTAGGGCTTCAAATAACGAAAAATTGCATCCTAAAAAGGACGGCAAAGATTTTAGCAAGTCTATCATCAGGAATCCTTTCTGGTGTTTTATATCCTAGTCGTGAAGAGAGTCTGGGGTCATTAGTTTTTGTTGACAGCCAGTGTTCTAAATGGCTCTGGTACTGACTACCATCTTTTAAAAATTTTGTAGAATGTTTGATAATGTTTTCATTGGATAAGTTAACACATCTGCTGAGAGCAGAGGTCTATCAGGGTGTATCATCTCAGCAACGTCTCGCGTGTTCGACCACAAGTTCGGAAATCTTGGATTTTAGCAGTGCTTATCCTTCTAAAAAAGCCGAACACCTACAATATCTATTAGACTTTGTGGTTCTAGAGAGTGTAAAAATAAAAGGGACTTTGAATGTCAAGAAAACAGAAACAATGGCTATTTCAAAGAAAAAGAAAACACCAAAATGTGACATAGCAATAGAAGGAAAAATGCTTAATCAAGTCAATTAATTCAAGTATTTAGGAACATTCATAACATCAGATGGACGATGTGTGACAAAAATTAAAAGCAAAATTGGCCGGGCAAAGGCAGCATTTCAGAAGAAGAGTTTGAAGGCAGCTAAGATTCTTGAGAAGAATGTTGCGAATACATTGGACTCCCAGAAAAACTAACAATGATTGCCTGGACATGGCTAATGAAAGTAAAACATTACATACAACAATTAAGAAGGAGACAAACAACGTTCTTTGGTCATGTAATGAGAAAATGAGTAATGAAAAATGCCGTGAAAACTTTTAGAAGAGGCAGAGGCAGACAAAGAGAAGGGAGGGTGAATGGCTTAAGACAGTTGTATGGAGGAATATCATCAGTGGAATTGATCCAGAACTCCGACAAAGAGAAGGGAGGGTGAATGGCTTAAGACAGTTGCATCTAGGAATATCATCAGTGGAATTGATCCAGAACTCCGACAAAGAGAAGGGAGGGTGAATGGCTTAAGACAGTTGCATCTAGGAATATCATCAGTGGAATTGATCCAGAACTCCAAAGACCGAGATCTGTCAAGATGCATAAACGCCTACGCCAGCTGACAGGATACTTGAGGATGATGATGATGATGATGATGATAAATCCATCCAGCTTCCTCTTTTTTCTTCCCGATAGAACTTTTTTCCCCCTGAAACTTCTTTCTTGTGTTGCCGATGAAGGTCATGCAGCTCTTGAGTTGTCAGCTCAGTCGCATAAATGACGCGTGCCAGGCGTCCGGATTACAAGGCGGCGTTTGAGCTCCTAGGCCAAATGTGCTAAAAACTTTAATTCGGATTTCACGTTCTTTGAGTTTTGGGGTGTTTGAATTTTGAGGTACCATTGTAAGTATACTGGTGTAATGTTGACCATATCACCCACTGAGTGCTGATTAGTCTATAAATTATAGGTCTAGCCCTATATGCCCAATACGTCTGAAGGTGTGGAAAAAGAGTCGTTACTTTAACTTTACTATATACATATATCTGTTTCGACAGTGGTACCGAGAGGTGACAATTCAGAGGCAATGGTAAACTACTAAAGGTAAATTTGCCTAGAAAAACTACAACTGCCAATAAATGCTGGGTTTGGTTCTGTAACGTCCTACTAAGTATTCTCAGCTACATTTATATACAATGTGTTGAGTTGAGCTGATTCAAGAACTCCCATCAAAACACTCAGGGCATTCCTATAAGCACTCCGTCCCTATGTTCAGCAGCCAGCTCAGAGTTCCTATACCAGTGGTGCAGCATTCTGATCAGACGTCCTCCTTGCCTTTTCTCTGAGCATTGAGTATCGGCTAAATCCCCTGTTCATTTCCCAACACACCTGTATATCCCGGAGAAAAGATCCAGACAATGTTCCTCACCCATGACCTCTAAAACGAAGCATACCACTATACACGAAGTATGCCTGTCCTAACCTCCCGCGGCATGCTTTCTGAACTAGAGCAGATAATGTATTCTGCAATGATTTTCTACAATATTTAGGGAAAGAATTAAAGAATACATTTTGGCGCAATGCCATAATGGGTTAAACAAACGTTAGTCTCTCCAAACAAAGTAGGTCACGTTCTATTTATAAGTTTGTTGGGCTGGTCTACCTTCCTGCAGGTTACGGTTGTGCCGCTCTGTTCTTTGCTTTCTGGGTTGTCTTGCATTTACGTTCTTATTCCGAGAAAGAGAATGACATAGGTTTCATCACTTTCTAAAAGGGTTCTGTATTAGACACAGTTAATCGAGGTTTTTAAAGTGTTAAAAGGGCTGACGTGCTGAAAAATACAACACGCGATATCAACGCCATTGCAGAAAACCCCCGTAATCGTGTGCCAAGGTAACGTGGCCTTAGGTCGACCAATCAGACGTGAGCTAGGCTGAAGGTCGACCAATCAGAAATGAGCTAGTATGTAACATTATCTAAATGGGGAGACTAACGTTTGTTTTACCAAATAATGACTCTTGACATACCTGGTAATGATCAGTCTTGTCGTTGCCGTACTGTATTCTATCCGGTGGCTGAATGCGTACAATTGGCGTGGCTCCATCCTTGGATATTTCGATGATAAGGATTTCTTTAGCCCGGGCGCCTGTCCCATCAGGCGTGCATGTGACGAAGACGGATTCAGTCACTGCTTCAATGAAACCGCTTGGGTTGACGTCGATTACTGCACATTTTGCTTTGGCGATAATTTAAATAGGAAAATTTAAAACTAGCCGTTTTTATGAATATATAAAATAAATATGATACATGCAACTCACACACGTTTTCGTTTTTCGTTTCAATAGAATTGTTTTTTATGTAACGCATCATATTTTTATTCGTTACCATATCAGGCTGCCACATCATCATCATCATTATGTGGCAGGTCCTTCGCAGAGGGTCAGTCTTATCACGGTCTGCCTGAAAGAAACTCGGTCTCCCGCCAGTTATTCCACCTCATGTACTTTCATACTCAAGATTGCGACAACTAATCATATTCTCTGGGTTATTCTTTTATATTATTCTTATTCATAACCCATTCTGTGTTTTATGTTACTCTATAATGTTAATCTTAGTCTTAACTCATTTTGTTTTTTGTGTGGGTATGTGAGTGTGTGGGTGTGTGTGTGTGTGTGGGGGGGGGGGGGGGGGGGTGCGGTTATTTTGTAATATTATTCTTTGTCATTACTCGTGTGTGTGTGTGTGTGTGTGTGTGTTACTCTATAATGTTATTCTTTGTCATAACTCATCATATATTGTTTGTATGTGTGTATGTGTGTGTGTGTGTGTGTGTGTGTGTGTGTGTGTGTGTGTGTACTGCACCTGTACTAGTGGTACTGTTATTCTTTGACATGAATTATCCAATGTGTGTGCGTGTTTGTGTACTGTTACTATACGGGTGGTACTGTTATTCTTTGACGTAACGTTTTATTTTTGTGTGTATTTGTGATAATGTTACTGCACTTGTGGTAATGTTATTCTTTGACGTAACTCATCAGACGTCTATTCGTTCTTGAACGTAAAGTTAGACCAACAGTCCAGTATTTCAGGTGTTCTACTGCTTCTTCTTTTCTCTACGCCTGAAATGCCTCGCAGCATTAGGGCAGGAAGAGATCTTTGGAACACGCCCCTTTGTTCGCTGCGCATACAGTACTTTTCAGTGTCTTAGATATTTCTGCGGTCCAGGTCTTTGTGGTCGACCTCTGACTTCTTTAACGATGTATATGTTTAACATTGCTCTTTCTCTGGTGCCCTGTCTGATGTCAGTATTGTTACATAGCCAAACCATTTAATTTGTTGTCTACCTAATCAGTACCGTATTAGTTATGTGCCTACTTTCCTCCTGATGCCATCGTTTCTAGGTCGATCTTTACATTACTTTCTTGTGTGATTGCGTGTCAGTCCAACTGGCGCTCAAAAAGGATCCACGAAACACCATGGAGAGAGAATTGACCTGCCAGCTAAACAGACTCTCAGAAAACAGTGAAATCGTTATCAGGGGAACATACAAGGAATTCTGGAGAGAATGAATCAGCAGTAACATCCACAAGACCCCATCAGCAGACTCAACAGAAAGCAGCATACAGCAATTTTCCGTCTAAGAACAGGACACTGCAGGTTTAACTACCACATGCATAAAATCAATACTCGTTGGAATTGGCTCTTCTGTTCGCTGCGTATAAAGTATTTTTCAGTGTCTCATATTTTTCTGCGCTCCATTTACTTTGTGGTGGACCTCTGGCTCTGTTAACGATGTATCTGAATAACATTGCTCTATGTGGTGCTCTTGCGGCGTCCGTGGCTAAGGCGTTGCGAGTCCGACTCGTAAGCCAGCATACCGCGATCGAAACCTGCGTGGGCTGCGTGGATTTTCATCGTGGTATGGGACAGCCTAAATTGGGTACCAGGATGGGCTGTCCTGGGAAAGTAAAGACAGCCGGCGTAATGCTGACCACATTACCCACAGAGTGCTGATGGTCTGTAAAAATATGGGACGCTCTGCCCATATGCCCGATGCGCCGAAAGGCGTGAAAAGGGAACTTTACTTTTTTACTTTTTATGTGGTGCTCTGTCTGATGCCAATCTTGTTACATGGCCAAACCATTTGATTTGTTGTCTACCTATAAAGTTCAGTATTGGTTCTGTGCCTACTCTCCTCCTGATATCATCGTTCCCAAGTCGATCTTTACATTACTTTCTTGTATTTCTTATTATGAAAATATATACAGATGAGGCACTTAAGAATCAGGAAATGACATCATAAATTGTTGAACTATCACTTTCGAATTCCTACCACCGTTACGTAACTCATGCTTAGGCAAAAAACACTCTTTCTTCAATAGTTAGCACCACCCAGGACTCAAGTGCCTCATCTGTATTACTTCTTCTCCTATACAAAATAAGTCCCTACAGTGTGCATGTCAGACAAGATTACAAACATGAGCAAATTCTACAGGCCTGCCCACTCTACCTATAAATTCTAAAAGAAACTTGGTCTCAAGAGCAAAGTATGCAGAGCAAGCAATGGGGAACAATGAAGGACCTGCTACTGACATGCGAGTTCAAAGAGGCAACCCGACTGATTGTCTGATCTGAGTATACGAAACCGAACGCAAAAAAAGAGAAAGGTCCAATTCTGGCGTGAAACCGTTAGAGCTGGCAAATCTGACGGATGTCTTATGCATTTACTTTGCGTGTGCAAAGTTCAAGATTTTACTGGCACTGACCTGGTGTTCACTAGTTTTCAACAGTGCGATAGTGGTGCACATTTAGTGGGAATTTCCACTGGCTCAGGAACGGAGCACCTCTAGGGTAATTGCACTTAAGCTGGGAAATCCAAGGGGTCTCAGTGGCAAAGCTGTCAAGCTGTTCGCCTCGCGCTCCGAAGGTCCCGGTTTCCTTCCACAGCTGCGCCTTTCAGTTCACAAGTGCATTTATTACGGGGATCATTGGTGATCAACGCCAGAGCTACGGTGTTCGTGCTCTGCGCGGTGCTCTCATGAGTCGGCTAGCCGTTCTGTTGAGAGAGACTGAGCCAGATGGGATAAAACCTGGTGCAATGAAGTCGATCCTCTCTACTCTAACTGTAACCCTTAATCTTTAAGCTAGAACATCCTCTAGTGATTATGTAAAATTATGTTTATCATAATTCATCTTACATTAATTCATTATACTATAATATACATTATAACCCAATCCATTTTGTTGTTTGTTCTTAAGAGAAGCAATGAATGTCTCAGAAGCGATTCGGATTTGTTGGGGGGGGGGGGGGGGAAGAGCCTGGCGTCAAATCACTTAGAAAACTTTACAATATCCAGCAAAAAAGTTTTAAGTCTACAAAGAGCAAGGCCAGATTTAGAGTTGTTCAGGTCCCACATGAAGCCATGAGGCTTTTTCTTCTTCTTCTTCTTCTCTTCCACCGTGTACCTCATCGAAGTGTCGGGGGGAGATGTAATGTTCGTTGATGGGCTCTGTCAAGAGCACTATTAAGACTGATGTTCATTTCTGTAAGGCTGTTCTTAATGCTATCACTCCATATTTTACGAGGTCTTCCAGTCGCTCTATACCCGTTGTAACGTTTTAGTGTGGCTCGCTGTGGCGGATAGTACCAGGGCATTCTTGTTAGGTGTCCAAACCATTTCATTTGTTGTTCTTTGATGACCTGTAAAACTGGCTTTATTCCTAGCATTCGTCTGATTTCATGATTTTGTATTCTGTCTTTCCTTGAAACTCCTGCAGCTCTTCTAAGGCATTTCATCCCTGTTGTCACAATTGTACGTTCATAGGAGGATGTTAGTGTCCACGTTTGGCACTGATCGCATAGTGTTGGTCCAAAAAAAGTTATAATAAGATTCACTCTAGTACTCCGAGGAATCAGCTTGTGTGTCAACAGGGGAGATAGTTGTCCCATTACTTGATTAGCTTTGGCATATCTGGAGCTAATTTCTCTGTCCAGTTTTCCGTCTGATGTAAAAATTGCTCCCAAATACTTAAATTCCTCTGTTTGTCTCAGGGTGTTGTTTTTTAATTTAATTTCTAAATTGTCTTTATGTCTTCCTATCATCATTGTCTCTGTCTTCGTAGTGTTTATTTTCATATTATATTCCTCCCCTTGGTTACTAATTTGATTTAGGTGGTTCTGTAGGCATTCCGTATTTTCTGTGTACCTGGTCGTCGGCGAAAAGTAATTCTGTTTTATCTTCTTCCTGGTTAAAGTTTGTTTCGCTACATATGGCGTCCATGTATGTTATAAAAAGAAGCGGCGATAGTACTCAACCCTGATGCACACCGGAGTTCACTATAAAAGTTCTTGACAACCCTGCCTTCGATGTTATGCAGCATTCACTGCGTGTGTAATGAGGCTGCTACCATGTTAAAATACACCAGCTAATGTCTGAATTTTTGTTTATATAAATCCACCTTTTTGATATGTAGACAATGAAACTATACTGTCGTTTCATTTTTATTAACAGAAAAAAAGGTGTTTCACAAAATTTCATATATTAGTAAGTAAGTAAATTTTACCCCACCAGGACATCACAAAGTGCCACCATGCGGAGGAGAATCACCCGTGGAGATGTTCCAGAAACAGCGTTCAGCCGTTAAGCAATATTGCCGCTGCCGGCACATGTCTTCAAAATGACGAAAAATTACGTCCGTCATGGAGACGACTTTAGTTTAACTAATTTTATAAATTATATTATATAATCCTCTAAAACTCTCTAAATTTAGATAAAACCATTTTTATAATTTGAATATATGAAAAAAATTGCGTTAAAAAAAAAGATTTTAAAAGGTTATACATGTCAAAGGGTATCTACAGTGGTGTCGAGTTGGCCGTGTGTCGAAGTACACTTATTCCTGCAGCGAGGTGTTGTTGTCCTTTGTAGGTGACAAGATTGATTTTCTTCATAGTAACTAAAGTTTTCATTTTTTTTTTTAAATTTAGTCTAATGTGTCTTTCCATCTTTATTGTTTTTTGATTGGGTGTCAATCAATACCTGGCATATTGTTTATCAAGGTCAACTGAGGTAGCTGAGGGATTGTGCTCTAGTTGAAGTTGACAGGTCGCCGCAGCAGCAACAGAAGACAAAGAAAACAACGAAAAAGAAGCAGCCGCAGAAGAAGAAGTAGCAGCAAAAAAAATCAGCAGTATAAGCAGCAGCAGAGCGGCAGCAGCAACAGAAGAAGAAGGAGGAGGAGAAAAAGAAGAAGAAGAAGAAGAAGAAGAAGAAGAAGAAGAAGAAGAAGAAGAAGAAGAAGAAGAAGAAGAAGAAGAAGAAGAAGAAGAAGAAGAAGAAGAAGAAGAAGAAGAACAAGAACAAGAAGAAGAAGAAGAAGAACAACAACTACTA